GGGCTTTTCCAATCCAGGCCATTCTGGGATCGTAGGTGTGCGTTAGCTCCGTTTAGGTGAATCCTCTTCTTGACACAGAGGAAATCTGCCCTCCCTGGTGACAGTACCGTGCTTATGGCCAAGTTATCAGTATGTGACAAGAAGAGACCATATGCTCATCAGTGGTTCGTTGCCAGAAGTCTTCTAATGGATATGTGTTCACATCAATATTGAAGAATATGTTCGTTTACATGGAGAGTAAGAGTATTACCTTCTGGAGTAGATTCCATAGCATATGTGTCCCCGCGCCGCAGGATTTACATCAATGTAATGAAAAAGGAATTGAAAGACATAATGCTTTAGAATGGCTCTTTTGAAACACCTTGAGAGTTGCAGATTTTGGAGCTTTATAGAGATATAAATATTTAGATACATGTGTCTTCAGTTTGTTCTTAGAAATGTGATGACTTGGAAATGGTTTGTTGCACTGGTTATGGAATACAATACAGCATGCATAGTCCATTGCATTACTCCTTTCCTGTATTTAAAAATAGAAATAGTGTGTGGAGAAGAAAAAAACAGAAAAAATAACAAAACAAAAAGCCAAAAACCCCCAAAATAAAGCAGAAACAGCAGTGGTCAGATGTTGCTGTGTATTCCTCCCCCTGGGTACAGTGCTGGGGCTGGATCCTCTGCAGCTCTGCATTACCCTGATCCTTCTGAAGTTCTCTTTTTTTATGGCAGTAGTTTTGTGTAGTTATTTTTCCCCAAGACATGCAAAATATATAGGTTAAAAAGTTAAACTACAGTGCAAACTAAATGCAACTCTTTCCACTAAACTTTATATACTGATTTTTATAGCAGCCGTTCCCAGCCTGGCTGAGTGCAGTGATGCAGAGCCTGGGGAGGGTCAAACACAGATCTGTCCTGTGCTGGGAGCAGACTGACAACACAAACACCAATTAGTTATCACTGTATTGAACAGGTCACAATTCTGCAAGGCTGGAATATGGTTTAAACAAAGAGCATCATCATCAGACAGACGTGTTATTTATTAGTAAAAATTCCCTTTGCTTGGGAAATCACTCAGTGAGGGCCGTACATTTCCCTTTCGAGTGGAAAGTTACACCTGGACTTCAGGATTCTGAGGTTTTTGTAGGAGTTTCCTCCTATAATAAAAATTGATTTCACCTTGTGTATGAATGCCCAGTTGTACACACCTCCATCAGTGGTGCTCCTGGAAGTCTGGGTCAGAGTTCTAGCCTTGCTGGGCTTCTGGATTAAATGTGTGTTTGAGATTTTGGGGAGGGGGGGATTGGGATTTCAGATTCATCGTGTGTAAACATTCCTTGTCTGCTTTGCAAGATTAAACCCCCGTCTTAAGGTTGGCTCCTCACAAACATAGAGATCATCTGTGCAGGGTGCTGGAGTCAGATTGTTTTATATAAAAAGAAGAGAGGAGCTGGTGCACACTCCAGGTGTTGCCAGGCGTCCTGAATAATATCCCAGACACAAAAATCCAAGTGTGGCAGTACTTTATTTCCTCCCTCACAGGCTGTTGCATTGTGCTTCTGCTCGTATGTGCTGTTTTCGTTTCATGTCATTGTGTAGCTTTTGTGTTGCCCTGTTGAGTAGCTTTTAATAATGTCACTTTTGCCCCTCTTTTTTTCCCTCTGGAAGCACAGAACAAAGGTTCCTGTGAGCGGCAGCCGCGGCAGGGAGGGGAATACTGACACAATGGTACTGGATTTACAGGGAGGAGTGATTCTAACCAAGCTTTATAATACCTTAATTATATTTGATGTGACCTAGCCCTTGACAATCTTGAATCTAAGGCTGTCAAACAGGATTTAAATAACACAAAGATTTCTGGACAGTGCCCACTACTGAGTTGTATTTCACTGTGTCAGTGAGAAAGTGAAGAGATTCTCTGGAAGTGAAGAGAGGGGTTTGTCTTGGGATTTTAATCTTTGGCTTAGTGTACCTGATTGGTAAAGCCAGGTTATTTCTCTGCTAAATTCTGCAGATGTGCTAGCAACAATATGTAAAACCCACTCAAGGGAATTAAGAAATAAATATTTTTAAAAGTATTTTATGAATCTGACTGGGGAAGGGGTTTCTATTTCTTACCTATGTTTTCTTAGTGACATGAATTTCATTTCAGGGCTCAGCAGATTCGTACACAAGCAGACCCTCAGACTCTGATGTCTCTTTGGAAGAAGATAGAGAAGCAATCCGCCAAGAGAGAGAACAGCAAGCAGCTATACAACTTGAAAGGGCAAAGGTGTGTTCTTTTCAACTTGAATAATAATTAAGTTATGCATCCTGATCTTTTGCCTAGTGCTCAAATTCACACTGTTGGTTTATAAGGGTGATGCTGTCTTTTGAAATAGTTTGGGAGTTGAATGAGGTTACCTGCAGACAAGGTGTTTGGGGGAATATAGTGTAAATATTCTGGTATAAATGGGGATCTTCTCTAGCGAGCTGAACTCTGCTGCCTGATGTGAAATTATGAGGTCTGAATTTTGATGTATTTGGCAAATGTCCTCTGCTAGGTTTTCAGTAGTTTGATACAACAAATCAATTATTGATTCAGAAAAGTTTCTGCTGTTTGTGATGTGTGTTTCTATTTGTAGTCCAAACCAGTAGCATTTGCTGTTAAGACTAATGTGAGTTACTGTGGAGCGCTGGATGAAGATGTTCCTGTCCCAAGCACTGCCATCTCTTTTGATGCCAAGGACTTCTTACACATTAAAGAGGTAAAACCAAGAAGTATTGAAAGGGAATCTTTTTACATGCCAAGGACTACGATTTGAACAGTCAGGGCTGAGCCATACCAGATTAAAAAAGAGACCCAAGAGCTGAGTAGATGCAGGAAAGCACAGCACAACCATCAGATTAGTGATGAGGTGGTGGCACTTCAGCCTTTTTAATGTTCCAGCACCCTGGGGTGGTTATCTTGCACTTTTTTAATGCTTGATGTTACTGACTTGTTGTTGGATTTTCATGTCACAGGAAGGAAATAACATCTTGCTATATTTTAAATATCCTTCAACTTGGTAGATTCAGATTCTATCCATCAAACAAAGTTTGTCATGAATTGGAGATGATGTAATAGAAAGGGATTCTATTGATCAGAAAGTGGAGTAGCACCAGGTTACACCAGGTCGTTGTAAAGCACCAGACAGGCTTGTAAGGGAGGAAATAAGACTTAGAATAATACAATAGGAAAAGAAAATATTGAAGAGGACAGATTAAAAAAAAAAGGAGAAAGGAATGGGAATAAATGAGTCCTAAGTATGTCTTTAGTAGAGAAAAATCCATTTTATTGCACATTGAGCATATTTCCTGCGATTCTTTATCTGAAGTGAGCCCTCTAAATTTGCATAAACCCCTGTTGTTTTGTACATTTGTGCATAGACTTGCAGCTTGCAAAAACATCTTTTTTCATCTCTGCATTCTGTGTTTGTTTTAGGATGTTTAATACTCATTTGTCTCTTTCTTTGACCATGTGTCCGTCATCGCTTCAGAGCACCGATCTCCCTCAGACTGAGCACATTTAGGAGGAAAACATTTGCTTCAGCACTCCAGAGAGAGGCAGAGATTGGTGGTAGACAGGGGTTTTGCTTTAAATTCCTTCTCCCTGAGAAGAGGAGAGGCAGTTGATTCCCTTGTTCCTTTTTCTCAATTTGCTGCAAACAGACAGAAGTTTGGTTTCGATTTTTTTCTTCATTTCTTTTGTGTGTTTTCTTCTCTTTAATATTTGTGTGGAACAGTGCTTTAACCCCAGCTGGGGAAGTGGAGCACTGAGTCTGAATCTGCCTGTCTCTGCATGCAGAATTACTTGCCCCAGCTCTTCGTTCCCCAAGAATGTGTTCTGTTCTGTCTAGCACCACACCTGAACAACTTTTATGTGCCATCTTCTAACCCTGCTTCCCATCTTTCTAGCCTACACTGTCCTGTGTAACCATTCAGGTAACTCTGTGCATCCCCATTAAAACACATATTTGATCTTGGCTTTCCTAGGATGTCGCTACCTTTATTGTCTGGCCAGTGATTGAATTTAACGTACTAAGCTCCCATTGTGCTCCCCTGTACGTTTTTCCAGAGAATTGTCCCAAGTCTTGGCATTCTGTGAGTTTTCTTTTAAGATCTAAATGGCCAGGATGGCATTGCCTCTAAGCTGTGAGCCATCTGCCTTACTGGTATTTGTCAGCTCTGCTAAGGGTTTAGCATTGTTTCTTTGTTAATGCTGAAACCTTCAGCTTGCACAAGGCTGTGGCTGTAACTCAGTAGGATTTCAGGAATGGTTCCCCATGCTGGAGTCTGTAGCAAAAAGACTTTAGAATCATTGAATCATGGAATAGTTTGGGTTGGAAGGGCCCTTAAAGCTCACCCAGTCCCAACCCCCCTGCCAGCAGCAGGGACACCTTCCACTAGACCAGGTTGCTCAAAGCCTCATCCAACCTGGCCACAAACACTTCCAGGGAGGGGGCATCCACAGCTTCTCTGGCCAACCTGGGACACTGGCTCACCTCCCTTTGCAGAATGTATTTTTCAGTGATCTGGCAGGCTCACTTGAAGCAGAACAAGTGTGGTTCCAGATTTTAGAATAATGCTACACTAGGTAAGAAGTAAGGTCACCCCGTCACCCCGCTGACAGGTTGAAACAGCAGCGGTAACTGATGAGCTGCTATATTGAGAACATGTCCTGTATGTCTCATCTGTCTCCCACAAGATTATACATTATGTGCTTACTTAAAAGATGAAGTGGCAACAATTACTGACAATGCAGAAGAAATCATGGGCATGGCAACCAGTAAGAATGAACTGTAGTCCTCCCACATGCTGAATGTGACGAATAACAGATGGGAGGTAATGACCTCATGCAAATAGCCCCACGTTCCTCGCTGCATCATCACCATTCATATTGTTCAGCTATTCCCAGCATAACGCTGATTCTAATCTCATGTCTAGAGGCACCACTCACAAGTCCATGACCTGCTAATGGAAGAAGGGTTCCTGTGTTCAAGCTGTACATTTAAAACCAAAACAGAATGGGTAATCCTCACAAGACTCTGGTTCTGCAGTGGTTTCAATCAGTTGATTTCCCTGATTTACAACAAGAGAATGTTAGATCCTGAAGTGTTTATTTTAAAGACTATAAATAGTTCTGTCAACTTAAGCAGAAGCAGCACATTTAGAATTAAGCTTTGCTTACTGACATTGTCTGAATCAGGGCCGTAGCAACGTGAAGAACACATTCTTAAATAGTTGAAATTATAAAATAACGGAACCTCTTGCAATAATTACAGCTATAGAAAGAGGACAGGTGTGTGAGATGAGGGTGTAAGGATTGCATTTCCCTTCACTGTATGTGTTAATATTCGTGTGGATGCATGGGTTAATAAAAAGGCTCATTTATTTGTCAAAGATGTCGAGGCTCTGTGTCCTTCAGAGATTTCAGTTAGGCACTGTTGTACCTTCGACTGCTGGGATATGCTATTCATGTGTTTCTGCAAGAACTTAAGTGCTTGAGAATGTGAGCTAAAAGAACTGTTCATTTTTAAGAGGAGATGTCTGTGATAACTTTTTCCTCAAGGCATGCAAACAGAATTGGTACTGTCGTGCTGATTTTAATTACTTGAAGGTCTGTTGTGAAAAGTAATGTTTTGTTTGAACACTGGAGTCCCTAACGAAGCGTAACAGAATATGAAGTTTTCAGATATTTTTCTTCAAAAGCTCTGCTGGCAGCCAGCTCCAACAAATCCTTTTCTGCTACAATATCCTCTATGATACCACTTTTCATCTCTCCATCATTAAAGTCAGGCTAGACTTTCAATAATGCAGAAAAATGTATGTTACTAAAGATTAATGATAAAATTAAATTTCATACATTCAGCTATATATTAAAATTTCTTCCTAAAGGTCAGTATTTCTTTAGCTGTCATAAATTTAAAAGTGTGTGCCTCCAAATAGTTTAGTTAATTCTAGGCAGCAGCACTATGAAAACCTCATTTGTAGAGAGGTGTCACGACTTTGGTTCGAGCCCTGCTGTAGCATTAACCTGATTCAGGTTGTTTAGTCCTTTGCTGGAGCTGATAAGTTTTTATGTTGTCTTGGATAAGTTGGTCTTTCTTTTTAGTTTCTAGAATGGGGTTTGTAGAGCTTTTCTACCACACAAGGTTTTTGCAAAGGAATAACATGTTTATAACATCCATACAAGTACCTGGAAAGGAAGAAGAAAAACTGGTGGTAGTGGTATTGATCTTTGGTGTAGACCATTAAATTTCACAAGGAACCGATAATGATGGTTTTGCTGGTGAGCTGAAGGTGTTATTTTTATGTTTGACTGCTTTATATGGCTGCTATGAGGTAGCCTGGGGCCTTGGTTCACCAGAAATTAGTTTAAATTCATTAAATCACCATCATACTGAGCACCTTAGTTGGTGACATCAGAGGAAAAGTCCCAGCAGGACGTGTTGGGGCAGTTAAAGAGATGAGCCAGTACTGTCACAGATAATGCCACTTCCCACTCTGTGGCTGCAGAGAAGACCTCAGTCTTTGACTGACACCTTTTAACTTAAGTTAAATTCACACAAATTATCCAGCATTCAGACACCAGTGTGAGTTCAGACACCAGTGTGAGGTTGGTGTCGTTGACCAGTATGGCGTTAAGGATTGTGAATAACAAAATAAGGGAGTTCTGGACATGGAGCATTTTGAAACAGGAGCCAGTAACTTTTCTGTGTTCCAGAAATATAATAACGACTGGTGGATAGGAAGGCTGGTGAAGGAGGGCTGCGAGATTGGCTTCATTCCAAGCCCACTTAGACTGGAGAACATCCGCATTCAACAGGAGCAGAAGAGAGGACGTTTCCATGGAGGGTAAGAATGCTGTAACCTTTTAAAATCATTTAAAATCGTTTCTGACACCGGATAATATTTTTCAAAGGTCACTTGATTCTTGTTTTATTGCAGTGCATTTGCAGGAGTGTTTGATTTGGGATTGCAAATGAAAATACATATTTGCAGAGAATAGATGTGTTAGGTATTGACAATGAGAAACAAGAAAAAAATGTGTATTGACTTTAGGAAAGATCAGTAACACAGTATGAGTGGTAATGACAGAAATTTCTCAAGGGCTAGAGCTTTAAGTCCCCGTGGGTTTAATTCAACTTGCTGCTCCAAGGCTGCCAGATTTTTTTCCCAACTGTTACATTCTTATATTTGTGGGTTTTTTCCTTCTTTTTTTCTTTGTCTTCATTTTGGCCAAAACTTGACTTACCAAACTAGGAGATGAGCTTTGTCATTCGACTTCCTTTGTTCTTCATCTTCCAGCCTGACCATTCTATCTCTCCACACTGCTAGAGCTGGAGATTGCAAACCCCTGGAAAAATATAAACTTAGTTACGGGTCTAGGAAGTAGACCTGATTTCTCCTAAGAGAGAAATTAAGATTTCTTACTCAGAAAGAGTAATCTCACTAAGATTTCTCATTTCTCATCTTAGTTCAGACACTGAAGTCACTCTTCTGTTGGCTGAGTACACAAAATACTTTTCTCTTTTTTTTTTTTTTTTTAATTAGTTTACTACTAGCATATTGTTCCCATTAATTGAAAACTAAATTTAAATGTTCACACAGATAACAAGGACAACAAAACCTTTAGTGCTGCAGAGTAGAGAGACATGAGCCAGTTGGATCTGGACCTCACAGATAGCAGTAGGAGGAGTATAATTTAGCCTGTATAATACTGTCAGGGAATTGGCATAGTAATATACTTAATCAAGGTCAGGAATCATTTCAAGTATAAACCAGCTGGGAAAATGTTTTAAGAATGAGGGAACAACATTAACTGTGCTTTTCCCACACTGCTTTTACAGTTTTAGAAATAGCATCAGAGGAAGCCAATGTATCTGAATGTACAGAGAGATCATCTAGTTCAGAGAGATGGACACTTACAGAGTATTTAGGATACTCTTTCAGATAAAACATATTAGAAGAATTCTCTGCTTGTGTGAATGGGCATGACTCCACCTATGGAGAGTATTAGGAATGAAATCAAGTATGAGAGAGAGGGGGGAGATATTGTAAAGAATATCTGTTAAGATTTCAAGTAGTTTGCACTAACACTCCTGGATTTGTGTGATAAATTCGAACATAATGTATAATGATAAAATAGTTTATTTTTAGCACCTTTGTTGCATATATTCATATGGTGTCTGCAACTTAAGATTTCCTTAAAAGCTGTGACCAGCTGTGATGTTAAGGCTCCATGTGATGAAGACAAATTCTCATTTTGTCTGAGTAAAGCAGTGAAAAGTCACCTATTAAAGAGGGTTTCTAGAGTCCAGTATATGTTTGCAAAGGATTTGCCAAGTCCAGGGGTAAACAATCCCGGCTCTGGAGAGCACATGGCAGGAAAGCAAGGACAGAGTTCTGATTGGGACTAGTGTCCTCCTGCTTGTCAATCTGCATGTAAATAAAAATACTAAATACTGTGCTAATGATGTGGGTTGTACCGTGGGAGATCTCACCTGCAGTAATCAGTTCACTTAAACAGTTCTCTTCTTTCTGCTCTGAGCTCTCCTTCCCTCCTCCCATCTCCTCCTCAGCTGCTTGTGCAATGAGCTGAATTAGAGACCTGGTTCACCTGAACATCTTCCTCCTCCCCAAACCAGTTTCCTGTCCCAGTCTGCTGTGGGTTTGTGCTGGGTGCATCACACAGGGAGAGGAGAGCAGGGCTCCGGGGCAGAACGGCCTGGCTGGAAGCAGGGAGGTACAGGGAATGGAAAAAGGAGCTGCTTACACCAGTGCTGCTACACAGCAAAAGCTATTTTGGCCAAGGGCATCCTGGTTTGTACCAAAAATAGTGTGGCCAGTAGGATCAGGGAAGTTCTCTTCCCACTGCCCTGGGCACTGGTGAGGCCGCAGCTGGAGTGCTGGGTTCAGTGTTGGGCCCCTGAGTCCAAGAAGGACATGGAGGTGCTGGAGCGTGTCCAGAGAAGGGCAACGGAGCTGGGGAAGGGTCTGGAGCACAAGTGTGCTGAGTTCCCTTGTGGCTGAGGGAACTGGGGGTGTTGAGCCTGGAGAAAAGGAGGCTGAGGGGAGACCTTGTGGCTCTGTGCAAGTCCCTTGGAGGAGGGTGGAGAGAGGTGGGGGTGGGTCTGTTCAACCAAGGCCCAAGGGACAGGACAAGAGGAAATGGGCTCCAGTTGTGGCCAGGGCAGTTGAGATGGGATGTGAGGAAGAATTTCTTTGCTGCAAGGGTTCTGAGGCATTGGAAGGGGTTGCCCAGGGCAGTGGTGGAGTCCCCATCCCTGGAGGGATTGAAGAGTCGTGTAGACATAGTGCCGAGGGACATGGGTTAGTCATAGGGGACTGGTCAGTGTTGGGTTCATGGTTGGACCTGATGATCTTAAAGGTCTTTTCCAACCACTATGATTCTATGATTCTATTAAAACCACTAGTTGAGATCCCAAACCTCCCAAGACATCTGTCAGGCTAGTTATATGTCCTGGTAGAGGGACTCAGCAAGGCAGAGGAGTGGAGGTCTGTTAATTACAGACACTTTGGTTTCCCCATGTCCCTGCCTGGTACTCATCACCTCTCACTTCAGAGGAAGCTTCCTTGGAGCACAGCTGTGGGTGAAGACTCTCATTAACCATGTGGTTTCTCATGGGGCAGTTTCTCATTGCTGTTGCCTAAAACCTCACCCATTTCCATCTCTGGGCACTGGGTGTTAATGGGGCTCTTCCTGATACCATAGGAAATCAAGTGGAAATTCTTCTTCAAGTCTGGGAGAGATGGTTTCTGGCACATTTCGAGCCACACCCACTTCCACGGGTAAGACAGAATTTTATTTAAGGAAACTCTTGCTATTTTTAATACTTCTATTTAAAAAAAAACGTGTATGAAAAACGCAAGTTTCCCCCCTTTGCTGACTTATTAAGACATTTTACAGAAAAGTGCTTGTGTGCGGAGGTGGATAAAGACATGCAGTCTTTTTCTAGACATGTGGTGGTTGCTAAGGGACTGGGGGGAAAAAAAGTCTCGGGAAAAGTGGCAGCTGCCCCCAGAATGGACTGAATGACCAATTTAAACAGGGCTGAGCAAAAGGTGCACTGAGAGAAATCGAAAGTGCATTGACAAAGGGATTTTTGTTTGCAAGTGTTGTGGTTGTTTTACACATTGTTTGTTTTTTTAACCAAGTTCTCATTTGGTCTTTTAGCAAAACAGAAACAAAAAGTGGTAAGTAGTACTTTTGTTTCCATTTTATTTAATTCTAATATGTAACTCCCAGGATTTTCACATGGATCTTCTTTGGTTAATGATCTGAAGGGTTGTTTTCTTCTTCTAGACAGAACACATTCCCCCATATGATGTCGTACCATCGATGAGACCTGTTGTCTTGGTGGGTCCATCACTGAAAGGCTATGAGGTATGTATTCCACCTATTTGCAGTTAGTATTTTCTTATCCATAATCTTCCTTAGTACATTCAGTGTCCAGTGCAACTGTTTTATGATAATTTAAAGTGATCTTAGCTTAAATAATTGTCAAAAATGTTGTATAGAAACTAAGAGCGTAGTTTGCACTGTTTGGGTGAGGTACCAGCTGAATTTTTTTCTACCTTGCAGCAGTGTCTGTTACTGGTGATGTCTCAGCTGAAGGGTGGGTAAGATAAATACACTGGCACTCTCTTTGCAGTTTTACTGCTTTAAACACAGTGCCTATCCATTGTTTTCTGTCCAGTTATTCTTGATTAAATCAAGAAATCTCTTTTTAGAGACTTCCTGTCCACTACAACAAAAAGTTGGAGCAGTCAGTTTAAATGAACTCGCTGGACTTCTGTATACGTGTAAAATTCTAGTCAAACTAGCATATGCTTTGAACTTAATTAGCAAAGATTTTCAAGAATCTTCTCCATTGTTCTGCTTTTTGCACTGATGAAAACTTTATAACTTCCTGTGAAACTCAAGTGTTGGCAAATGAAGTAGCTGGACTATTGCAGCACGTTCAGTTTTGTTCTCCAGCACCTGAAACCAAATATGGGAACTGATGCTTCTTATTATTTCAGCCTATTTTCTTGACACTTATTTTTTTTAAGATTATATATATATTTATATATATATACACTGAACCCTTCTAAATTATTTCCCTCTGGTCAGTGTGAAGTAGGTATGATCACACCCACAGATAAAGAGGACACCCATTTTTCAAGACTGCTGCAGATTCAAATGAGCATTTAACACGTGCTAAACGAGCATAGGCTTTTAGCAGGACATTTTGGTGAACTTAACCATCTGTTCAGTGTTTGGCTGCATGAGGAACTTAATGAACATGAACATAAAATCAAAGATACACTTCATTTAGCTTAATTAATGTGGTTAGTACTTTATAGGGTATTATTAAACATATTGGAATGGTTAGTAAACATACTGGAAGATTACAATATGGTATCTTTATTAGCAGAATGTAGTATTCTTGATTTTTTTTGTTGTAAGAATGATTGCAAGTGTAGTTTAACAAAGCAAGAATGAGGTATTTCACATTCTACTCTCTGCCTTTTAATTTTATGGTGATGTTTCTTGACAAGAATAAATTTGATCCATTGATTTCCATGGTGCTGCACCACAGATTAATTTGCTTAGGGACTCTGAAGATTGGCTCTTTGTTAATATATACCTCTGCAATATGCCATCCCACCTTTGTTTAAGAAAATAATACTAAACATGACATCTTGAATATATAAAGGGGTATAAATGGTAATGCAGTTTGAATATTAATTTCAGTTACAAATAGTGGTCTATATAACAGGAACACATTGATCTTCCTTTGTAACCTACATGGGAAAATTCTTTTGACTATTTTTTTTTTTCAGACTAAATTCTGAAAAGAATCATTTTGAAAGATAACCTAGGGAAAAATAAACTGCCAGAGGGCTGGGAACTTTGATTAAGTTCCTGTCTAGACTGGCAGATAATAGATGTCAACCTGAGTTGTCCTGGAAAGGACAAGGAGCTCGTTCAATAAAGTAGCTGCCAGCTGTTGGGGCTGAGCATCTCTTGGATGTTTTACCATGTACAGGAATGGAAGCATCCATTTTTGTATGCCTCTCTGAGAAGAGTTTTTCTCTTCTGATAAAATTAAGCCAGTTCTAATAATGTTATTGTAGGAAAAAAAACAAATGGGTCTATTCAACCCGAAGAGCCCCATATGCTTTTGCTGTGCTCTGAAGCCTGTTGGGAATGGTATTGCTATGGAAGGTGGTGAGGTATGCTCTGATGCCTCGGTGCAAGTCAAGACAAGAGCAGGAAGAGTGACAGCTCTCACATCCTCCGTGCCACATTTTGGAGAATGAGTCAGAAAACTTGCAAGGATTTATTACAAAGCGTGCTGCCAAGAGCATGACAATTAAATGATTGCTGCCTATAAAAGGGATTGATTGTTGGCAGTATCCTTACCTTCTACTTACCTCTTTTCTTACTTTTGACTTCTTTTTCTCCCTTTGAATCCTCCCTGTTCAATCTTCCTCACCTCTGCAAAGGTGACAGACATGATGCAGAAAGCTCTCTTTGACTTCCTGAAGCACAGGTTTGATGGGAGGTGAGAAATACTGTCCTGTTCATCCTTTTTTTTTCCCCCATGTGTTACTAACATTTTAGTGATTTTTTTTTTTAAATGCCAGAGGGTTGATGCATGTTCAAAACTGATTTACTGGCTTTGTATCAACACTGAAATGCAGCTAGCTGTGGGGTGGACACAGCTAATATATTATTAGAAGTGCATGTATCTTTGTTATCTGCTGTGTCTAGTAGGATTTCTTAGGTTGAACAGAATAATGCTGCCTCATTATCTTACCAGCCTGTAGTTACAGGAGAAATCTCAATGAAAGGTGATTGGGGCACATAGAAAAGTGCCAAAATATCTTTAAAGATATAAAGATATTATATTACCAGGCTTGGGTTTTTAATGTTGCCCTGGTTTTAATGGTGCCCCTTGTTCAGCCTGCTCTGCTCTTGTAAGGCCCCACCTGGAGTACTGCGTCCAGTTCTGGAGCCCCCATCACAAGAGAGACCTGGAGCAGCTGGAACAAGTCCAGAGGAGGCCACCAGGATGATGGGAGGGCTGGAGCAGCTCTGCTGTGAGGACAGGCTGAGAGAGTTGGGGCTGTTCAGCCTGGAGAAGAGAAGGCTCCAGGGAGATCTTATAGCGGCCTCCCAGTACCTGAAGGGGCTACAAGAAAGCTGGGGAAGGACTTTTCATAAGGGCAGTTAATGACAAAACAAGGGGAAATGGGTTTAAGCTGAAAGAGGGGAGGTTTAGATTAGATATTAGGAAGAAATTCTTCACTGTGAGGGTGATGAGACAGTGTCCCAGGTTGCCCAAGGAAGTTGTAGATGCCCCCTCCCTGGAAGTGTTCTCGGCCAGGCTGGATGAGGCTTTGAGCAACCTGGTCTAGTGGAAGGTGTCCCTGCTGATGGCAGGGGGAGGTTGGGACTGGATGATCTTTAAGGTCCCTTCCAATCCAAACCATTCTATGATTCTGTGAGTTGGAAGGAAACTCTGCCCTTTGGCAGAGCCCAGCTCCTGGCTCCCTGCTGTCCCCCTTCCCTCCCGAGCTCCCAGGCTGCTGCTCTGCAGCCTTGAGCTGGCTGCATGTTGGGTCAATTGAACTGAGTGAATTGCTGTTATTTTTTTTCAAAGAACTACCCAGTTCCTTTCATATCCTGGAACAGTTGAGAAAGCATGACTGATTGCACTTAAAAATGCAGTTTTATTCACAGTCCTTTGGGAATATGAAAATTTCTTAACATTGGATACAAAAGTGTGTACTGCTGGACCAGCTCAGCCAGCTGCTGAAGTGTGCAGACAGCAGATATAAGTGCCTCTTGATTTTATTTTGAAGTTTCTCTATTTAGGATATATTCATTCCAGCACCTTTTGGGGAAATTCCAGGCTCTTGTACAGCAGAATCTTCTCTAAATAAAACTAATCATCAGAAACAACAGATTTCAACCAGGTGCAGTAACGGTGCTTCAAACCAACACCTAAGAAAAAATAAACTCTTAAATATTCTCAGTGGTCAAAAATACTTCAAAAAGCAGTTTGAAGAAGGAAATGCTGAGAAGGAAAATACAGAAGAAAGTGTGTCAGAGCTTCAGAAATTGTAGGGAGGGTTCATCTTGTTCAGCTGGAACACAGAGAACATTTCCTGATGAGCTGTGAGAGGGATAATTTGGATTTCTTTGCTAGGAATGTGGGCTTGGTCCATGACATCTCTTCCTTTCCACTGGAGCTCGTCAGTAGTTGTAGGTGACTGCTACATCTTTGGGGTGTTCTGCCCTTCCTTCACCCTAGTTTCTTCAGTATATTCGAACTGCATGAAGAGAAGCTTACACTGTGCCTAGCTAGTGTGTGACAGTAAGTCAGGTTTGAAAATACCTAAAACATTGGCACTAGGACATAATAAATAGTGAAAATAGTAGTGTCTGGTGTTCAGAAGAGGTAGAGTAGGATTTATGGTCAAGGAACCTTTTGGGGTGCAGTGAGGAGACAGTGGTGCTGAACTAACTTAGCAAATAAGATGATCAAGTGTGCAAAACATCTCATCTCCTCCCCTATTTTTAATTGCCCAGCTCAAGTGATTTTTAGCAGATTCTACAAACATAGTGATAGATTGAAAACCCGCCAGATGAAGCACTGTGCGTGGCAGCCCTGCAGGTCAATTTGTCATTTTTCTGAGCTGTTCCTGTCATCCTGAGCATCCTGTCAGTACCTCCTCTCCCTGCTCTGGTTCCACTGCAGCTCATCCCATGAGCTCTGCTGCCTGTTTGTGCTCCATGTAGGTACAAACCTGCAGCGTACGGTCTCTTCCAGCGGTTGGCATGTGTCCTGTCAGCTTTGCATATGCCAGTGGTAACGGAGAGTCATTGTTTTCAGTAGGAAACCATGGCAACTGGGAGGGATAAGTCATCTCCAGTTGCCACGATGTGATTGCTATGAATATATCCTTTATGATGTATATTTTTATACCCCATATGAGAATGTACTCAGCAGAGGCCTGATCCGTGAAGATCAGCAAGTGTTTAAATACAGGGAGGAAAATGTAAAGCACACTTAGACTTTACACACACTTAGACACATTTAGGCTGCTTCATGTGATGGGAGCCAGGACTGCTCCTTGCCTTGCTCTTCTGTCTTTTCCCCCACTGTGCCCTTGGTCTTCAAAGAGGGGTAAAGGGAGAGATCCTGCCTGAAGTGAGGTTGGTTGTTTTTTTGGAAATCTTGTTGCTATTAGCAATATTGGCAACTAGATCAGGTAGAAGTATGAAATTTCAGCATTGAAAAAGTTAAATGCCATGAGCAAGCTGATCCAATTGACTTTAACTCTGAGTAACTTTAGAAAAATGAGATAAATTCCTTTTCAGGCACCTCAGCTGCTTCTTGGTCCTTCTGCCACCTCTTGTGACTTTGCAGTCTTCCTCCCCCACCCCACTTTCCTTTTTCTTTTTTCCCCATCTCTTCTGCAGTTTTGTGACAGGTCCACATTGCCAAGAAGAAAAATGACTGTCCAAGGAGGAGCTTTTCAAAAGATTTCAGTTAAGACTGGAACTAGCAGGACTCTTTTCCTACCTCCTAACACACTTGGCTTCTGTCAGCTCCTCCTTTTGTCACGGCAACATCCTCTTTGGGCCAGTGAGCTAAAGGAAAGGCCTGAGGGCTGCGTGGTGCAGGTCAGCTGAAAAGAGTCTGCTAAAGCTTGGCTGGCACAAGGCATTCAGGGAATGGCTGCTGCAGAGGCTCTGAGGGCATCATTTTCTGAATGCATTGTGTTTAATCACTCACTGTTGCTTAGACCAAGCCTGACTCTGTGCACCACGTAAACAAAATATAGCAAAGGCACATTTTTTTTCTTAACATCTTTCAGCAGCAGTGATATTTAGGATGACTTCTTACTCAGGAAGAATGAAGTGCTTCTTATACGGAATCGTAGAATCATGGGATGTTGTGAGCTGGAAGGGACCCACAAGGATCATTGAGTCCAATTCCTGTCCCTGCCCAGGACAATCCCAACATTCAGGCCATGTCCCTGAGGGCCTTGGCCAAATCTGGCACAGTAGGTGAGCGTTTGTGGTCCTTTCTCCATGACACAGCTCTGATTCCAGCAGTCAGAGACCTAGGAGCTTCCTCAGCCAGAGGTGTGGTCCAGACCGTGTTTTATCATCACCTCTAGACCCATGATCCATTAATTTCTCCCATTTCTTTTCAAAACTCATTTATACTTTTGATCTCCACTGTATTTTCTGGTCATAAATTTGTGTATTATGTAGAAAAATACTTGCGCTACTTTTTAACTCTCCGTCTGATAATTTCACTTGGAGCTGCATAAATCTTACCTTGTGTGGAATGGCTGATAGTCATTTCCAGCCTGCTTTCTTTTCATTATTCATGGCTCTTTGGCTCATCACAGTCCTCCCAAATGGATTCTGTGAAGTGATTCTGTGATCTTTGTTCTATAACCTTTTGTCTCTTGTCAGCTGACTGAGAGATCAAGTGAAAAAACCCCACCTTCTTTAAGTTAAAGAGGAGGCTCCAGCTGTTCAGATAGCTGTGGCTCAGCTTGCTTTTCTCCTGGTCAACCACGAGCCAAGTCCTTTATCCCTGTCTGGAGAAGGAGAGTGCCTGTTGGAGGACCAATCTCCCAAAGCAAGCAGCTCTGTTTAGTGACTCACAGATATGAGTGACGTGATCTGCTCAACATGTCCAAACATGGCCCTTCCTTACCTCTCAGCAACGCCAGGTTTCATCAATACTTCCACCACCTGGGAGGAGAAGTGCTCTTACTCTCCTGACTCTCTTGTTCTGTACGCCCTGTGACGCTCATAACTTGTAGTATTGATGGTATTGTGTAAATTTGTGTAGGAGATGAGTGAGCTGGGGAGGAGAAAAGCTAACTAATGTATTAAGTAGAATAGCAGAAACTATGTGCAAGAGTCTACAGTAGTGTGGGGAATAGGAAATACCGTTCAGTTATGCAGCATTACTCTTAATTGTTCTTTAACGATGGTATAAGTCAGCTATAAAACATGTCTGAGTGGTATTTTATGGTATTTGCACTTTGGAATGGAATGTAGCTGTAAATCATGCACAGTGCTTTGAAAATTTGACTCCTGTGTTTTTGTTCTGTCCTGTGTTCTTACTCATAGGATATCAATAACTAGAGTGACAGCTGACATTTCTCTTGCTAAGAGGTCTGTTCTAAATAATCCAAGCAAGAGGGCAATAATTGAGCGGTCAAATACAAGATCCAGTTTAGGTAAGACATCGACAGAGATGTAATCCTCAACGTGGTTACCTGCTGGAGGAAAGTGACAGGATTTCAGCCTTCAAGACATCAGCAGTACTGCAATTTTGAATGTATCTACAGCATTTTAATGTATATTTCTGTATTTCACCTATTCAAACGGGAGACAAATTTTGCCTGACTGAGGAGCGGTAACAGAGCACAACGTACCACGTTAGCCTTGCATTAAGCAATTATTTGGGCAGGAGCAAGCAGTATTACAGCTGTTATTTGCACAAGATGAGTTAGGAGCCTGCAGTCAGAATATGTGTTCAATGCTGTTCCCTCCCAAGGAGAGCTGGCCTCACAGCTCCCTCTTCCCAACCCTGGGCTTTTAATTCCACATCACAAGGTGCCGAAGAGCTTTCACCTTGTCCAGCCGAGAAGGAAGCATGTTCTTGTCCCTGACCCTGGGACTGGTTTTGTATTTCATGTTGAACAGCTACAGCTTAATTTTGCTGTCTAGCCATGAGAGTCTGGGTCTTCCCACTCTCTTCTCACAGTGCCATGACTGCTGAGTTACACTGGGCTCAGGAACTTTTCTTATTTTTAATTTATTTTATTTTATTTATCTTTCACAAGGAATGGGAATTTGTGTGTAGTATATGCATGCCAATGACCTGGTCTTTGGGACACCATCCTAGGAAGTAGCAGGAGTTGCTTTTCAGTCTTCTTGGGAAGAAAAGGCTCTTAAAACCAGTTCTCTGAGATCCTGAGTGACTGTTTGAACTAGAGGTATAAGTTGTAGGACGCTTCACTTCTCATTGGCTTTCTAGTACAGGAGTAGGCACCCCAAAATTAAGTGCTGCAGAGGTGAGTACTAAATCTTCCTGTGCCTGTGAACATGCATTGCTCTGTGGAATAGCTCGTAGGCAAATGAAATGCATGTGAGTTGCTAACACACAGCTCTTCTGTGCTTTGCTGGTATAACTTACAGGCTTCAATTTATGCTGAGTTTATCTGTTTAAAATTCGTCACATGCATGTGAATGATGAAGAAGGCTTAGAACAATGAATATCAGAAATATAATTTACATGGAAATAAATCTCTCCTTTTTTCTTCAGACAAAAGTGCTGTGGTGTGAACGTTGCCATTAGTGGTTTTTTAAATAGTACCCTGTCAGTTATTTAACATAAACAATTTTTTTGTGGTTATTGAATTAGGAGGTCACAGTTCTGCTTTTCATACAGACTCTTCTTTAAGTTAAATCAGAATTACAGTCTGAGAACAAAAAAAAATTAAAGAAATATCCATACATCACTTGCTGTCTAAAATAAAAAGCCTTGTGATGCCTAAGCTACTTAGCAGATTTTGAAAACAAGCTTAAGTCTATTTTGTGTTAATAGGAACATGCATTTAATTGTACCCAATGTTTAAATACACTGATACTATAAAGGAACATAGTATGTGTAGTTTTTCAGGCAATGGAATTGGTATTATTTAGGTAATATTTATTTAAAATAACTAGTAATAGGTAAGTTTATACTGAATAATAGGTTATTTTATAGAAATTGCATTAATTCACACACAGAGTTCAAATACTGAATGTTTACAGTCTGTGAAAATGAGTGAGTGATGGTATTTTTGTCTAGGTAATGCTGGGGCTGAATGAACCTGTTTTATTTTCCTTTACTAGCTGAAGTTCAGAGTGAAATTGAAAGAATCTTTGAGCTGGCAAGGTCTTTACAACTGGTTGTCCTGGACGCAGACACTATCAATCACCCTGCACAACTTATCAAGACATCTTTAGCACCAATTATTGTCCACGTTAAAGTGTCTTCTCCAAAGGTAACATATCTCATCCTTAAAATACCATGCCTTTGAGAGGGACCTGGAGGGCAGTGTGGGGGTGAGCAGTGTGGTATCTGCACCTGAAGAAATTCAAAGTGAGGTGAAGAGAAAGAAAGTGAAATTTTTAGATGGAGGTGTCTTGACGGATAACAGGTTGGACAGCAGTGAGCAGGGTGCCCTTACAGCAGAGAATCAGCTGCATGTTGGGCTGTAGGAGGAAAGATGGGTCAATCCTGGTTCAGAGGGGTGGTGGGATCTCCTTGGAAATGTTCAAAATTCAAAACTCAGCTGGATGAGGACCTGAGCAGTCTGATCCAGCTGACCTTACTTTGAGTGAGGGGTTGGCACAGAGACCTCTAGAGGTCCTTCGACTTAAAAAATATCCTGTTCTATGAGCCTGCAATTTTCTTTGAGACTATACAGAGAAATAATTTAAGATTCCTAAGTTTTCCACCCCTAAAATTCTAGTAATTAACTACAGTGGAATGAAAAAAAAGAGGGAATATGAATTGTGTGTGTGACCTTCTGTACCCAAAACGCACCTCAGAACAGATTAAGTCACAGCATTATTGCTACACATCATAACCTGCTGCTACTGTCGTGCTGCAGTCAATCCAGCATAATTCTTTATATATGTAATTTTGTGGTGCTCTAGAAGATTACATGTGTCAAAAATAACTTATTACTTCAAGTAGAATAAAGCAAAATCACCATTCATACTGCATTTGAAATATTTGCAAGGGATCAAATGGGATGCAGAGGGAAATGTGCACGGCTTTCAGGGAGGTTATCAGAAAGGTTGGTGCTTATATTCAAGGACAGTATTTTATCCATTTTGCTAAACATAATAGAGAGCTTCTGAACTTGGTAATCCTCCAATGGCACAAGGTTTATGGAGATACAGAATTCTGAAACTCACATTTTCTTCTTTTCCTCTATCAGGTTTTGCAGCGACTGATTAAATCTAGAGGAAAGTCACAAAGTAAACACTTGAATGTTCAGTTGGTGGCAGCTGATAAACTTGCACAATGCCCACCAGTAAGTACAGAAGAAAGGCTAAAGAGCTTGTGATACGTGGAGTTTTAAA